GGAATGCAGCAATAGAACTAACCCACAAACGAAGTCCCTCCCCTCCTGGAGTTTGCTGGTGTGCTGGTGAGATTTGTGATATGTGAAAACTTTTTCTTAGTTTTAAAAGTGTTTTTGAAATGTATTTGCTAGCTTGTTTATTTCTTTCAAGATTTCCGGAGAATTTGAGAACACTGGAACAAATAGGAAAGACCGTTCCCATACCTTTACTGCAATATTTATGGTGATATAGAAAAAGATTCATTTAGTCCTCTTTTCAGACAAATGGTGGAGTTAAAAGAACTGGTGATTTCTTGATTATGCATTACACTGTGTATGTGAATACAAACATATTGCTATGCATGTATGTACATAGATATGCATATTTCTTTGTCTTTAATTGTCTCTTATTAAGTGTGTAGCCATTTACTTTCTTCTGAAAGCTAAAGGGAAACTCTCAAACTTACATGATTTTCCCCCAAAGTCAGTTAACCTACTCTCAGCACAGAAGTCTCTGAGCGCTGTTAGTATTCCTGCCATAGGTGTGGTAGCTTTCTATGTATTTCCAGTGATTGGTGTTCACTCATGTTTATTCTATATTTCAAATATATTTATTCAACTACAAAAACAAGGTGTCTATGTACTATTTTACCATAAAGTAATTAAGTCGATGGAAACAAGGAAATTATTCTTCCTGTGTGTGAGATCTGTGATATTTGACACAGATATTTTGATGTTTTTATCACCTGGGCACCATTGTTTGAGTATTACCTGGCTACATTCATCAGGAGGAGTGTGTATAATAGAGGAATGTAGAGCTGATCTGTGATTGTCAGTTGCCAAGAGCACACATTCAATTCTAAATCATTGACGGTTAACTATCTGCTATTGTATTACCTGTATAGGTCCCTCAGTTTTAAAGCATTTACCCTATTTTCCCTTGACTAATTATACTAACAGAGTCAGGATGGTACCTAGAGTGAAATTTTCCCTAAGGGAGAAATTTGTAAAGCCCTAGGGTGACTGAGGCCTACATAAAATACATTCTCTGGTGGGTGAATGATGACTAAAATTATCTTTAATAAAACTAAAGCCTCTCTTTTCACCATTAGAAGTGAGTCCAAAATGAGCCCTCCTTCCATAATGGATAATGAAGTTTCACATTCATTTTGAGGCATCAGTGACACATAGCAGGGCTTTTCTTGACAGTGTATTTTGATGTTTAAGAAGGCAGCAATAGTAAGATGAATACACATTTGAGAAACACCAATATTTGATAAATTATTCCTTGAAAGAGAAGAAATTAGAGCATATTTAAACTTCTTCACTAGTGTTTTACCGGTGTCCGGCTGATTGCCCAGACTCTGATGTGAGGTCATAATGATCAGGACAGAGGCACAGAGAATCTGGCTGGAGTTGGGGGTGGTCAAAGGGCTATGAGGGAACCACGACCCTCACCAGTTAAGGAAAAAGAAAAAAGAGTGACTTCTTCCAGGTGATATTAGACTGTCTATGGGATTCCCTAAGTGTATAACATCGCACTTTTAGGGACTTATTTATAAAATAAGTCATTCCTCCACCTCCTGTTCATGACATGGACAGATTGACTCAGATATCGTGCACTAAGCACATTGTAAAATGTAGATCAACTGGGTTCTCTTTACCTTAGTTTTAAAGCAGCATATTCATTTTAGAAAATCATTTAGAAATAAAACAATAAAAATAAAACAGAATAAGCAGTTTCCTCCAGAGGCCAAGGACCTAACTA